GTCTTTGTGCTTATGAGGCAGGAGGCAGAACCACTGAGCTAAATCCCTGGCACATAAGAGATTTTTAATGTGACCGTTCTGCTGATGCACACAGGATCCCTTTGCTTTTCATCAATTTTTCTTCACTGAATTATGCCTTGTGCAGATATCTGCAGGCTTTAATTATATGTCATGCATAATTTAAGGCAAAAAGATCTATAGATTCCTTTTCCCCCATTTCATCTAATAATTTACTTTTAGTCATTTATTATGAGTAAGTGTCTTAGATGGCCTAGTGTTTGCAGGGTATTCTGTGGGGTGTTGGGCGGTGGAAAGTGCCTTCTTCCTGCGAGTCTGGTCACTTCCTCTCCCTCGATGAAGCTGGTAGCAGTCAGGGATTAGCTTAGCTTCTACTCTTTTTTTTTTTTGAGGGAAAGAGATTGTTAAGGAAAGAGTAAACATTTTTTGAATATGCTATTTTCAATATAAAATGACACTACTGATGTGAAAAATTAGCAAATTAGTTCAGCCCATTTAGACATTTAGCTGCACAAAACCTAGCATAACAGAAAGTGAACACTTGAGCCAACTCACCATCCCTGCATCTCATCTTCTCTCGTGTCACTCTCTCACATTATTCTATTTATTCATTCACTTGTTTTCAGCGTTTTCTGTGCCAAGGAACATTTTCCTTTGATTCCACTTTCGTGTTTACAGTGGCACACAGCAGGCACTCAACAAAATCCGTCAGATTCATCTATCTCACCTAACCAAGGGGATGGGCTAAGACCCCAGGTGAAGAAATCACAGTCCAAACACACGGACAGACAAAATCCAACAACAGTTCACCACACTCAACAGTAGAAAAATGGAAAGCTTCTGTGAGGATAGTTTTCTTAGGGTAAAGAATATATTTTAGAAAAACGTCTCAGAGAAAAGACTGCATTTTTGTTGATGATCCCATTGTTATAATCGACAGGAGATGCTCTGGTCCCGCTAGATGGTGGGAAGTGAACAAAACCAGGTCGTATTTCTGCTCTCCCTCTGCATGAACACTGATACATGAATGAGAAAGGTAGGGAAGAAACCAGTGAGAAAGCCTACTGGAAATTACCGACCTCCGTAATGGCCGTGAAAGTTAAAAATTAAGCAAGGTAGGGCTAGGGATTTAGCTCAGTCGTTCTGCCGCCTGCCTTGCAAGCACCAGGACCCGAGTTCGATCCCCGGTACCAAAAAAAAAAATCAAACAAGGTACATTTAAAAAACATTAAAGGTGCAAGTCATTTAAAATATTATAATGTCCACTGTTACAGAATTTGACAATGTGTACGCTTCTCAGGGTGATGATAGTTTACAGAGACTGAAGGGACGGACATAACCTATGAGTACGAATTTATGAATTCAGAATCTCAAAATATGCAACCTATTTGATCAATAATCACTTTGCTGTGAATCTCTCCGAAAGTAATTATTTAAATGTTAAAATATTGTTTCATGTTTAATTACTATTTAAAAATTATGTGCATGAAGCAGTGCCTTAGGTATGAAGACACGTGGAAACACGAAGTATGCTTATAAATTTAAAAGTAAGATGAAGAAAGTTTACCAAATTACATGTATGCCACATGATTTAAAGTAAAACTGAAAAAATAGCCGGGAGAAAATATCATAGCCATGATTACTATGTCAGGGATGGAAGCTCATGGCTGGTTTTACCTCTCTTTAGCTTCCAACCCTCTGTAATCAAATTTGACTTGTACAGTGGGGTTTGAGTTGAATGTTGTTCATCACAACTTTTTAAAGGCAGATCTCATTGTTTGACTCTGTTTTCCTGTTGTTAAAGGGCTAATAGCTTTGGCAGAGGCATAGATGGATAAGAACATGCTCTTCTGGTGACTTATGTGTGAAATCATGTGTGTGTGACTTTTTTTGGTTACTGTTATGATTTTAGACAGTTTCCTGGGAAGGGCCTTCCACTTCATCAGAAGCAGAAAACAGTGAAGACCCCAGCACAGATAACTCTTTTCACACGGAGGTAGGAGCAAAAAGTGGCTTTTAATGTTGCTGGCGGCTCAGCGAGTGACTCCTGTCAGTCTCGAGAGCCCTGAATAGAAGTTTGCAATCCCTTATGCACCTCTTTTTACAAATACAAGGCTTATTCCATTGGAGCTTCCCTGGGAATAGAGCAAGCAGGATTTACACAGAGCAGAGCAGCAGAGTGGGGAGAGGGAAGAGATCTGGTAGGACTTTCTGGGTCCCTCACGCTCCTTCAGTGACAGATCACAGAAGCCATCACGGCTGCTCAGGTGCATTCTACAAAGAGCACAGTTACCTAGTTCACCCATAGTGGCCCAGTTCCATAGGGAGGGGTGGTCTCCTGTCTCACACCCACTTGGCTTGGTTCAGTTTAGAGGCATGTCACGAGCTGCATGTTAGAAAGGGACATCTGGGCCTCTGTTTCTCAGCATGCCCCTCTCCGGTGTCACAGAGATTCCCTACCGAGTGACTTTAAAGGGCTAGGGATTTAGCTCAGTGGTTCTGCCTCCTGCTTCGCAAGTGTAAGGTCCCGAGTTCGATCCCCGGTACCAAAACCAAACCAAACAGCATTACATTAAAGATCCCTTCTGTTCTCAAACATAAATGCTGACTTCCTCAACCGGTTTAGTTGGTGGCGTCCTTGCTCAACTTGTCAGCCAACTCAGAAAGGGTGAGACACACTCTTGATTTCAGGCTTGTAGCATCTCCTGAGCTGGGCAGCTCGGCCTCTGCAGTGCCCTGTGATTCCTCTCCTCCTCTCTGGTCCGAGCCATCCCTAGATTGGTGGCTCTCAGTGTGTGGCGTGTCCCCTAGGGGAAACGTGGCACTGTCTGAAGACATTTTTGGTTGTCACAGATGCAGTCAGGAGAGTGAGGGGTCGGGGCAGAGAGGGGTGCAAGTGGGTGAAGGCCGGCTGTTGCTGGCTGAGCACAGGATGTGCACCCTCTCCAGCATGGAATCTCCACCGTCCACAGTGCTGAAGCTGAGAAAGTGGCCCTACCTGACCCTCCCAAATTCACACCTGTGCTGACCCCGCAGAACACACTACTTGTGGGTAAAGCTTTGGTACAAGGTCCCTCTTTTACAGCCCCCAGCCACAAGGCACAGACCATTTCTGATCCAATGTGCACGTCCTCCCAGCTCCCGGGATCTGGCTGCGACTTGAGGTGGCCACTGACTTCTCCAGGCTGGGCTGGGGACCCCTCGCGAGAAGCACGCTCACAGCAAGGCCCTGATGTCCGTCTGTTCGTCCTGCTGCAAAGGGAGCCTGCAGAGATCAGAAGTCTCTTTGAACCAGGATCCTCAGCAATGCCTGGTAGGAGGCACTGGACGGAAACTCAGCCCAGACCACTTGAGTGGGCACATTTGTTCTTCAGTACAGTAGGTTCGCTGGTGCCTTCCTTCCGGTTTCTTTTCTTTTTGAGACAAAGTCTTATTATGTAGCCCAGGCAAGCTTCAAACTTGCAGGGCCTCAACTTCCTAAATTTTAGGACTACAGGTGTGCGCCACCATGCGAGGCTTTTCTTTTTTCTTTCCTCTCATCTGAAATGTTGCTCCACATCTCAGTCTACACTCGGATCACTAAGTCACCAAAATTGACAAGAGCCCACGCGGTAAACCAGGTCGGTGTGACCCTAATTCACCTGCAGTGAGGCACCAGTAAAGAGGGTATGAGCCCTAGTTCACAGGTGAAGACTAGTGCAAGCTGCCCGGAGGTCACAGCGACAGGGCAGGGCCCCGCACCACTCATGTCTCCCGCCTCACCCAGCAGGCACTGAGGGAGTCACTCAACTTGAATGAGAAAACTGCAGAGCGATTAGGGAAGCCGGGCGGCCTAGGGAAGGCCAACCTGAAGCCCACGGTCGGGCCAGCGGCCAGTGGGGCGCGGAGGGCGGGCAGC